TTTTTGGTTATATCTTCATCATTAAGTAAGGGCAATTTTGTAAATATTACTACAAGACAATGGGTATTTTTGTCATCTCCATAAAGGTAAAGTTGAAATTTTTACTAAAAGACAAAGGGACTCTACTTAAATATTACTTCAAGACAAGGGGTACTTTTGTCATCTCCATAAAAGGTAAAGTTGAAATTTTTACTAAAAGACAAGGGGACTCTACAAATAAAATTCCAAGACATTAACTTCCAAAATGGCATTGTATTTTTGTAAAAATTTCAAATTTTCCTTTGCTTGATAGTTAAGTTACCTATTAAACTAATTTTTAAAACAAAAAGTGATGATCTTTTTTATATATACACCCATCACAAGCCCTTCTAACTTTAACCTTTGTATTTTGAGTGGTGGTTAACTCTAGACAAACCCTATATATATATATATATATCTATATATATAGATATATATATAGAAAGTATTAGTATTAGAAAACAGACAATCTATTGTCAAATAAATAAACAAAAGAGAGAATAGTTTTGAGGTACACCCGACTGTTATCGTATCAACCGACTGTGATCTTGACAATTTTTATTTGACTTGCGTATTTTCTTTGTTTTACTCATTGGTGCATTACCGATTATAATGAAACCATGATTCAGGAACATTCATCATTTGTCAGCTATGTGTATATTGTGTGATCAATGGTAGGAAGAAATGTGAGACATCAGCATCAGAATTAAGTTGGTTAAATAAGAAGATTGCCAACATTCCTATCAATATAATGTCGTAAGAAGGGTCAGTGTTACATTATAGCATATACCAAAACTGCCACCTTTTTGGAGGGAGACTTTCCTATTTCACCCCTCCATCAAAACTGCCACCTTTGGGAGTGGTTCTGTTCAGGTATTCATCTTCCACGACATGCTGTTCATTCATAGAGGCTTGGAAAATAAAGAGACTTGCAGGTTCTTTGTGGGGAAGAAGGGCAAAAATGTCATAATGAAGCTTCTTCTGTGGCCAAGCATTCCACAGTTTTGAAGACATCGGTGGCTGTTCATGCAAAAGCTGTTTCCTGAGAAATAAATTACTCCTGAGCCTTCTCTGTCTCTCTCGTCTCTGCATATCAAACAGAAAAACCCATCTCATTACAGCAGGTGACCTCTGATAATGGCTTACTGTGTCCAAGGCGTACATAGCCTGAACGAGAATGCTGCTAAAATCTCCAAATTCAGTTTTAGAAGGACCAGATCTCTCCAAATTTTGTCAGGAAATGGCTCACTCTCATTGTTTCTCAATGCAGTCTTCACTAAAATATACATAGGTGGGTGTGATGCCCATACATTTGCAGCAAGATGCTGGACCATGGGGCTTTCTTAGTGCACCATTTCTCAGATGGGCAGGCACCCATTGGCCCCCAGGACTTCTCCAAACAAAATAGAGCAGCTTTTGCCCTCTCTCTCTCTCTCTCTGCAGCAGATCCCTGCTCTTTTCTCTGTTTGCTGGTTATTGGGTTTGGAAGATGGGAGTTCCATTGTGGAAGATGCAGTACGGCATTTGTCTATTCCTCATCACCCGAATGGTTTTGCAGCTGGGGTTACAGAGGCCACTGGTATGGTTCGGTTCTTAATTATTGGGCTCAGGATCAAATCAGATCTAGGATTTGGATAAGGACCATTTGGTCTCTGCTCTTTTCTCTGTTTGCTGGTTATTGGGTTTGGAGGATGGGAGTCCATTGAGGAAGATGCATCATGCCATTCGTCTATTCGTCATCAACCAAATGGTTTTGCAGCTTGGGTTACAGAGGCTGCTGGTATGGTTCGGTTCCCTATGATGGGGATTGCGGTCCATACACCCTGAAATCTGGGATGTTGATCCCAATATGTGGGGGAGCTCGATCCAAGAATCGGGATTGAGTGATAGGTTATACATGACAAAGCTCCATTTGGTTAAAAATTGAGGCCCTTGAGAGCACTTAACTATTTTATTAGTAAAATATATTATGCTAATATACTAAACCGCATTGCTATACAATAATATACTGCTCTACTATATTGTATAATATACTGCTGTACTATATTACAATATTATGCTTTATATTCTACGTTCTGCTATACTGTACAATATGTCTGTCTAAGTTTACAATATATAGCTATGTAATATACACTACACTATATAGTATAGACTACTATAATATACCAGACTACTATATTATACTGCTATGCCATACTGCTATATTATACTACAATGCTTAGAAATTTGGATCTGCTGTAACTAGGGATCTCGATCCCTAATAGGAAGGATCGAGATTCCAAAGTTAAAATCGTTGAGAAGTGAGAGTCCTTTCAGCATAGGAGCAAGATTCTAGTGCAGAAATTGCCCATTGGTCAGAAGATTCTGGTAACTTTGTTCGACCTCACAGTTAGCTTTAGATTGTGCTGCAAAACCTGGAGTAGAAGAGAGGAGAAGAGGGGGGTGCAAAAGAGGGGAGAAAGGGTGCTGGTTTTGGAAAACTGGAATAAATGAAGAGGGAGGGGAACATGGGGCTGGTAAGAAGGGAAAGCAGGTATTCATTTTTTTGGCTGAAACTTTTTCTTGCCTGAAACTTTGGCTTGCTTCCACTGTTTCTTACAAACCAGAAGAGTTGGGGTTTAGAGGGAGAGAGTGGGCCTGGCTAGTAGGTTGGGTGTGGTTAGAGAGAGAGAGAGAGAGAAAGAGAGAGAGAGAGGGAGCATGGTTTGGCATAGAAGAGAGGGAGATCTTCCATGATCTCGGTTTAGGAGTGGGTGGATTTGGCTTTTCTCTTATCAACAGTTTTGACAGGCAAAAGTGAAAGTGCCCCTACTACGAGTTTTGGGACATAAATGTGTTTTTTATGCGCTTTTTGAAACTTTATATATATATATAAAAAAAAGTAGAAACATCGAATATTTCATCTTTAAGGTGGGGTTTCATAAATTTCCATTAATTAAATGATATATAGTTCACAATGCTATAGAATTAAATGATCGGAAATTAAGTTTATAAGCCTAACGACGTTATTAACGAGTGTATTCTACCAAAATTTTACCTAATCTCTCTACCTCTCTCTCTCTCCCGCCCCCCTTGCCCCATTCCGCCAAAAAATAAAAAAACGCACACCCATACACACACCTGACACCCGTTCCTTTGAGTTTCCTCATTCCCTCTCATTCTTTTAGTCCTCCCTCAATATTTTCTTTTGTCTTCTTTCTCTTCCTTTCAATCTTTCCATTTCTATTTCTTTTAACTTTCCTCTGTCTATTACATTCTAAGATATTTTGTACTGTCCTATTTTTTTAGATTGTCCCTCTTATTCAAAATTACCAAGTCGTTCCACCCCTCCAGTCAGCAAGTGAACTCACCTGTGTCCAGAATTATGTGTCCTGAATTAGATGTACTGTGTTCAGAAATTTCAGCTTCATTAACATTTATTTGGCCAATGTATTGAATAGTAATCCTCATAATACAAAAGTAAACCAAAATAAACATATTGTATTATTTTTAAAACATAATGTACTAATTTATTCTCTGTAGCATCTTCACCTTTTGCAATGTCTCTTGCTAAGTGTTCATTCCTGGAGTTTCTAGCAGCATCCTAGAGTTCATTGACTGTTCTAAATTTTCTTTATGTATTCTTGGCATAGATTTAGTTTTAATTGTTATCTCCTGGTAATTGCTGCCATTCTTCGATCAGGATTTTGAATTTAAGGAAGTGGAGGAGGTTGTAAAGTACTACCCCCAGGGTCATCATGGTGTGGACAAGGAGGGAAGACCTGTTTATATTGAAAGATTGGGAAAAGTTGATCCTAACAAACTCATGCAAGTGACAACCATGGAAAGGTACATAATGTACCATGTACAAGAGTTTGAGAAGAACTTTGCCATAAAATTTCCAGCTTGTTCCATTGCTGCAAAACGGCACATCGACTCGAGTACAACGATTCTAGATGTACATGGTGTGGTGAGTATCCTATGCACGTACTTACTTCATACCAATTTTCATCCAAAAATAATTTAAAAAAATATGTAATTTTTTGTATTGGGGAAAAGGAGCCATCTTACAAGATCCTTGATGAAAATGGTTTCCAACTTTTGGCCAATTTTAAAGTATAAGAGCCAATATATGGGTGTCCCTTGTATGCTTCTTTTGATTTTGACGAAAACCGAAATCAGTTCTGGAGAAAATTTTTTTTACATGCTTTCATCTATCTGTCGTGTCATTAACTGAATGACAACATCTTGCATTGTTTGTTTAGGGTTTTAAGAATTTTAACAAGGCTGCTCGTGATCTCATCATGCGGCTGCAGAAGATTGATGGTGATAACTACCCTGAGGTATTTTGTTTCTTCACTACCAGGACAGCATTTTTAGTAAGATCTTTTGTGCCTCTTCCACTATTAAATTGCACATTCTGTTGATGCAGACTTTGTGTAGAATGTTCATCATCAATGCCGGCTCTGGATTCAGACTGCTATGGAACACCATAAAGTCTTTCCTTGATCCCAAAACATCCTCAAAGATTCATGTACTCTCCCTCCCTTGCTCTCTCTCTCTCTCTCTCTCTCTAAAAGAGTGTGTGAGTCAGTATCCCTAGGCACTTCATATATCTTGTTTTGTTGCATGCCAACACTCATATACCTGCTATAGATACATGTACCTTATATACATGCTATAGATACATGTACCTTACATGTCAATCATTTTTTCATGTGTACAGTAGGTTGACACTTCCATCTGAGGTGTCGACATTGCATAAATGACATGTCCACTTTTTCAAGTTAAAAAAAAAAACCTCCCCCACCCTAACCCCCCCCTGTGAGCCCCTGCACCCTGCACCAACCCCCCTGGATTTGTGCTTGGGTTACTGGATGAGATAAAATCCCATTACTACCACACAAGCTGCCAACCATTGCTGTTATATATATACATATATTTTATAAGAATACATAGAGTTCTTTTTTTCCTTCGAACTTTGCTCAAAGAGGCCAAGATGAGTTTTGATCCTTTGGCAAATTGACATCCAATAAGGCAATCTTCCACACTTGCCCATGGACCATTGCTATTATATTGAATTTTTTTTTTGGTAGGAATAGATCTAGCTTCACTTTTTTATTAAAAGAACTTCACCCACAGGCAAAGAGGCCAAGAGTGGTTCAATCCTTGGACAAATTGATATCTAATAAGCCAATTTACTGCACTGGCTCATGGACGGTCATGTTAGTTAAACAAGTGACTATTTATATAACAATGAAGTAGCACATTTCATAATCATAAAACAAGTAGCAAATATCTAGACTTTTACACTCATTAGAACTTTTGGGATTTGAACTCAACCTCTAAACTCTCATCCTCTCCATGCTTGATGGTTCTACCACCTACGCCACACAACAATTATAACTAATTTTAATATATAGCTGGTGAAATACTGGAATTTTTGGTCTACGTACTGCACACCCCAACATGTACTGGCAACTGACCTGTGTCGGTGTCCATGCAATACTGGTGTAATTGTGTATTCAGCTGTCTAGGTTGCTTGTGTGTGTGTGTGTGCGCGTGTGTTCATGCATGTGTACACAGGTGCTCAAGACAAAAGCATGGAATCCTAAAATGCCATGCATGCATTTGCTTGTACATGTGAGCATGCCTAAACACAGTCTTCTAAAGGAGTCAGCCATCATAGTTCTGCTTCTGCAAGAAAGAGATCAACATAGTTTTTGAGTTTTGAAATTGCATGCACATGCATGTAGCCATGCATATATATTTATGTCAATGATTGGTTATTAAGTTTTAGATGTGCTGACCTTTTTCCAGGTTCTTGGGAACAAGTACCAGAGTAAGTTGCTTGAGATAATCGATGCCAGGTAATTATCCAATTGTATCTCTATTCTCTAGATTTGTGGATCATGGATTTATGTTATGTTCCAGTGTAAGATGATGCTGAACAACTCATAATGCTTGGATTTTCTTCTGTATTTGCCAGTGAACTGCCGGAGTTCTTGGGTGGTACTTGTACTTGTGCAGATCAAGGAGGTTGCATGAGGTCTGATAAAGGTCCATGGAGAGATCCAACCATATTGAAGGTTTGTTTGCCTTATCATAACACTATAATGGATGCTACAATGGTTTATAATGGCATTTTTTATAATTTGGAAATAACTGGTTTTCTTGGGGCCAAATGGAAGGTTTAACATTTTTTTTCCAGTCTGACCTATTGGATCGTTTGTTTTTCTTTAGTTTTTTGGTTGAAACTTGTAGCAGTTACATGACTTGTCTCTTTCTTACTTGGACCAAATAGATTTTATTAAGGTCCTAAAGACAGTTTAGTCTGAGTGATAGTTGTAGAGCTTTAAAAGCAGTGGGTTTAGATCAATTTGTTGTATAGTGGTGATATGAATTCATTTGTTTTGCAAATTGGTTAATTAATTGCATTTGTTTTTCACAGCTGGTTCAAAATGGTCAATATAGATGTGCCAGGCAAATTGTGACTGTTTCAAACAGTGATGGAAAAACCATTGCTTATGCTAGGCCATATTACCCGACGGTTAGTCTTTAATCTTTATCATTTTATGCGATGTTTTAGAACCCAGACATGTGCTGGGACTTGTTAGGGTCCTGAGTTCAAGTCAGGCAGATTGACTTAGCTGAGATTCATCAAGAGTTGACCAAGTCTATGGCATTTCCACAGGCTTGCCAGGGTCCCTAAATGAGTCAACTTAGGCGAGTCCCAAGTCAACTTGTCACGCTTTAAAACACTCACCTTTAGTAATCATGTATAAAACTAGTTTTATCAAGCTAACTGATTATCATCCCAAGTCAACTTGTCAAGCTCTAAAACACTGATCTTAAGCAATCATGTATAAAACTAGTTTTATCAAGGCAACTGATTATCATGATCCCACTTCCAGTCTATAATTAGGTAACTATTATTGGTCTTGATCTACCAGATAAAGGGGGGTGATACGTCTACTGCTGAGTCAGGGTCAGAAGCTGAAGACATTGCTTCACCAAAAGCTATGAGGAGCTACACGTCATCACACCTTCGATTGACTCCAGTTCGTGAAGAAGTAAGTCTTAATAGTTTTTCTTTTTTTTCTACTTATGATTTGATCGGTAATCTTGAGACTTAGCAATCTTAGAACTCTCTCTGCTGCAATCTATGGCGTGAGATTGGGTCATATTATCTTAAATGTCTCTCTCTCTCTCTCTCTCTCTGTCTCTGTCTCTCTCTGTTATTATGTTTGGGATTTCGTAGGGATTTGTGACAATCACCCGCAATGGTGACGTATGCAGTCATTCACCAAAAGCAGTTTTAATGGACACTTTGATACTGAAAACCCAATACAAGATGACAAATATGTGTGTTTATGTGTATATACACCAAAAGATTTCCTACTCCCATGGGAATATACCATCCATTCACACCCCTCTTAATGACAAAAAATACCCTTACTAAAAAAAAACTCTACATGCAAAACAAGGGTATATAAATGTCCAAATTTTGTTGAGTATAATGATAAATTACTCCATAGTGTGAGCACCCTAACATAACCCTCTTTGTACTGTAGAAGGTGCACAGTATGTGGGGTAGGGTTTGTATAAGGTTGCCTCCTCATACTGGAGATAGCAGACCTTTAAATTTTCTTAGAGAAGTTGTTCCCGTGTCGGAAACCTTATGGTGGCTTAAAATCTATTTTGATCCCTAGTTATAAATTTAAAATTTCAAAACTGGTATTGATCGAGCAAATCAATAAGCACTTGAAAATCTTGAAAGTAGATGGTCCAGATAACTTGTTACAAAGTGCATTACTTTTTGGACTTGAAATTCTTTTATTCATTATGTCCATACATCTCGAGGTCGAAATGATCATTTGGAGGGTTCTCTGATGCCGGGACACTCTTTTAAAGATTTTTGATGTGCACCTTACTGCAATAATATAAGGTTGCAACCTTATATATAGATATATATATATTTATATATAGGAAATGCTAGCGTAGGCTAGTGGGCCTACAACTACATTTGAGATATGACAGACACGACCTCATTTTGCATTTGAATTTGAATTTTTTTTTTCTATAAATCCAAATCACTTGAAATTTCTGGCGTGTGTTCTTAAATAATAAGAGAATCCAATAAAAATATCAAAAAACTATTTCATGAGAAATAAATTAACCAAAATACCCCCAAAACTTTTTAGGGTATTTTGGTCAAATTTATATATTGTGAATGATTTTTTAATTTTTTATTATTAGATGCGCCTTGATGAGAAGAACACACACCTAAAATTTCACGTGATTTGGATTTGTAGAAAAAAATTAAAATTTAAATACAAAATGAGGTCTTGTCCATCATATTGAATCTAGGCCATTGGGCTCATA